TTTCTGAGTGTTTAGCTATCTTTCTGAGTGTTTAGCTATCTTTCTGAGTCTCTGGCTATCTTTCTGAGTGTTTAGCTATCTTTCTGAGTGTTTAGCTATCTTTCTGAGTGTTTGGCTATCTTTCTGAGTGTTTGGCTATCTTTCTGAGTGTTTAGCTATCTTTCTGAGTGTTTAGCTATCTTTCTGAGTGTTTAGCTATCTTTCTGAGTGTTTGGCTATCTTTCTGAGTGTCTGGCTATCTTTCTGAGTGTTTGGCTATCTTTCTGAGTGTTTGGCTATCTTTCTGAGTGTTTGGCTATCTTTCTGAGTGTTTGGCTATCTTTCTGAGTGTTTAGCTATCTTTCTGAGTGCATGACTATCTTTCTGAGTGTTTAGCAATCTTTCTGAGTGTTTGGCTATCTTTCTGAGTGTTTGGCTATCTTTCTGAGTGTTTGGCTATCTTTCTGAGTGTTTAGCTATCTTTCTGAGTGTTTAGCTATCTTTCTGAGTGTTTAGCTATCTTTCTGAGTGTTTAGCTATCTTTCTGAGTGTTTGGCTATCTTTCTGAGTGTTTAGCTATCTTTCTGAGTGTTTGGCTATCTTTCTGAGTCTCTGGCTATCTTTCTGAGTGTTTAGCTATCTTTCTGAGTGTTTGGCTATCTTTCTGAGTGTTTAGCTATCTTTCTGAGTGTTTGGCTATCTTTCTGAGTGTTTAGCTATCTTTCTGAGTGTTTAGCTATCTTTCTGAGTGTTTGGCTATCTTTCTGAGTGTTTGGCTATCTTTCTGAGTGTCTGGCTATCTTTCTGAGTGTTTGGCTATCTTTCTGAGTGTTTGGCTATCCTTCTGAGTGTTTAGCTATCTTTCTGAGTGTTTGGCTATCTTTCTGAGTGTTTGGCTATCTTTCTGAGTGTTTAGCTATCTTTCTGAGTGTTTGGCTATCTTTCTGAGTGTTTAGCTATCTTTCTGAGTCTCTGGCTATCTTTCTGAGTGTTTGGCTATCTTTCTGAGTGTTTGGCTATCTTTCTGAGTGTTTAGCTATCTTTCTGAGTGTTTAGCTATCTTTCTGAGTGTTTAGCTATCTTTCTGAGTGTTTAGCTATCTTTCTGAGTGTTTAGCTATCTTTCTGAGTGTTTAGCTATCTTTCTGAGTGTTTAGCTATCTTTCTGAGTGTTTAGCTATCTTTCTGAGTGTTTAGCTATCTTTCTGAGTGTTTGGCTATCTTTCTGAGTGTTTAGCTATCTTTCTGAGTGTTTAGCTATCTTTCTGAGTGTTTAGCTATCTTTCTGAGTGTTTAGCTATCTTTCTGAGTGTTTAGCTATCTTTCTGAGTGTCTGGCTATCTTTCTGAGTGTTTGGCTATCTTTCTGAGTGTTTAGCTATCTTTCTGAGTGTCTGGCTATCTTTCTGAGTGTCTGGCTATCTTTCTGAGTGTTTGGCTATCTTTCTGAGTGTCTGGCTATCTTTCTGAGTGTTTGGCTATCTTTCAGAGTGTCTGGATATCCTCTTGTTGTTGACACTGGATGTTTAAATGTCACTTAGAAGTCTGATTATACATCAATGTTTTTTCTTTTTTTCTAATTAAATTTTTTTGTCTATACCATGGTGGAAATCCTATTGGGACAAACTTAAAATTACCATCTGGTGTCAGGTCATACAGAACTACAAAGTTCATTAAAAATGTCACAGCCAGATTTCCACATAAGACAATGTTTTGTATGATAATCTAAGGTTATAATTCCCCGCTACGCCTATGGCCAGACAGACTCGCCCACTGAAGCACTTCTATATGTTCTTAAGTGTGTGTGTGTGTTTGTGTGTGGGTGCGTGTGTGTGTGTGCGCGCGCGTGCGTGCGTGTGTGTGTGTGTGTGTATTTGTGAGTTCAAGGGTAATATTATTTACAAAATCTTACAAGAGCTTCAAGTGCCGTTAAAATTTGCTCAGCTGGCCAGTTTTGGCCTGCAGGTGGTAGTTTGCCCTCCCTAGGTATACTTGCTTACCTTCATCTTTATTTATTTCATGTGAGTATATGTGTACCTTCGTCTTTGCCTGTCTCATGTGTCTATATATATGCTTGTTTACATCTTTGCCTGCCTCACATGTCTGTGTGAGTGTTTTCAACCTTGCCTATCTCATGTGTCTATATGCTTGTCTTCATGTTTGTCTATATCATGTGTCTATATGCTTGTCTTCATGTTTGTCTATATCATGTGTCTGCGTCTATTCAGCTTCGCCTGTCTTATGTGTCCGTATGAGTGTTTCCATTTTTGCCTATATCAAGTGTCAAGTGTCTATATGCCTGTCTTCATCTTTGAAAGTCTCAGTGACAAAATCTAGCAATTTTTACCTGAACTCTTTCAGGTGCCAGATGCTTCCGCTGTAGAAGATATCCTGCCTTTGCAGAGGCGGCACACTTGGTCTGTGAGTAGGCTCACCCGGATGCCCTTCTTTGAATCGATGATAACGTGAGAAGTCCTGACTGAATGCCAAACGAGCTGTGTCGCTTGGAGTGTACTGCTGACCTGCACTGGAGTCTTCAATTGGCATAGTGGCTGACCTAGGCAAGAACCATATAAGGTGCATTAACTTCAGGGCGTCAGTCATGTATTTAAATCTGACATAGTTCTCCACTCTGCGGAGAAACGTCAGCTCATCCTGGTTGAGCTGACCGTGCCGTATGAGTCGCGAATGGACGAAAGCCATGTGTACAAGCTCGAGAAGTACAGTGACTTAGCGGCTGGTCTGAGGAGAGACGAAGCGTACACAGTAAGAATCTTCGCCGAGGAAGTAGGCGCAAGAGGTCTCGTTTCCACTTCACTCTAAAAAGTGATTAAACAACTAGGCTTACTAGGCTTACCAGGTAATGAACGCAAACGAACACTTAACCAATTGGGCGAGGTTGCTGAGAGGACCTCGAGCTGGCTCTGGACATAACGGAACGTCGTGGGTGACAAGCCTAGCGGGAAAAAAATGTTTTATCCCTTAAAGTCTGTCGTGTCCGAATTGTCTGCCAATGTCCCTCTGCCACCCAACAAAGTCCAACATGTGTCCGGTAAATCAAACGTAAGCTTGCCACTTGGTCGTCCAGGTAAGCAGACTTTAATTATTAATTTTTTTAATTATGCTTCCACAACGACTTCATATCTCACAGTACCTTTTGCAAAGTCACCAATTCGTCTTGTCCCTGTCCGATAACATCCGGCAATACGTGCAGCAGGAGAAACCAACCCTGAGCTTCATGAACTCAGGTGGGCCCACTCTCTGAAAATGTCTAGGAGCTCGTGGGCCGAAACATTTGTCGACGAGAGATTACTTATACTGATGATTGGTAGACTCCTGCTCTACATGCTCCGCTGTAGAGTTTCTTCTTACTTAATGGGAGTGTTTTACATGTATGGGGACGCTGATAAGATCGTACACGTGTGTATCACCAGTACGGGTAAGTTATATCTCTAATTGTGTATCACGTGGCTGGGGTACACTAGGAGAATGAAGGATGGCAGCGTCCATTGTGGCCTTCAGCAAGATGCATTTGATTCACACCACTAAGAAATGTCAGTTGCAGGGAGAAAAGGTGCGTGTGAAACATGGCTTATAAGCTGAACAACGTTCACTCGCGGTGGAGGTGTAGTTTTTGAGAAAAATTAAATATTATAGAAAGATAGAAAAACAAACGAAGCAACCCCTGTCTAGACAGGTAAAAGGTGTAAACCTATTAGAATATTTACACGACGGCACTTAGTGTCTTTTGTCAAGTGGAGTTGAGCACAATGTGTCTATGGTCGAGGCGGCCAGAAGAGCTAGAGACAGAACCTTAAATCTCCGTCGACACCCATAGTGGTAAAAGAGGGAGTGAAGAAGAAGAAGAAGACCATCTAGCCGCTACAGGACGGTGGCTCTCCAAATAAGTAAGCAGAAGTCAGATACATTGAGGAGCAGACAGGCAGACAGACAGGCAGACAAACCAGTAAATAAATGGACGGACAGAATGACAGTCAGGCTGATGGGGAGGGGGGGGGGGAGGGGAGACGACGAAGTGGACAGAGATACAAATCGATACATAAATGGACAATCAAATATATAAAAAGATATTGAAAACAGTTAAAAACGAAAGCACATACACAGATGAAGACACAAACTCGCTGACAGAGAGACAGTTGGACAAAGAAGAGGATGTTGAAAGCTGTGAGACACAATCATCTCCTGACCTAGATCTGTAGACTGGGGGCTGGTCTGGCTGAGAACTGAGGCGCTGGTAGATCTCAGACTTTAGCTTCTCACTGATGAGGGAACTTTTCGGCTCGGGGATGTTCTCCTTAGGCGATCTCCTGACATCTGTCATATCCTGTAAATATTAACAAATGACTTATCTCAGAAGCTTAGACCAACCGCAGGTCCTAAGAGTCGACCTATTAGGGGTTCCATTTGAAGTCGTATTGCATCTGCCTGACGAGCAAGGAACCAACAGTCTGCATACGAACAAACGAGACCTGTAAAACGGATGTGCAGAAAGGACTAAAATTTTGGAATAAGACCAGAAAGGGCAGAAGAACCAGAACATTCCGCTGCAGTTTACAGACTGTAAGGGCGAAGACGCAGAAGAAGATATCCTACTTGTGTCATCAGATGACACCCTTCATATCCTGCAAATATCAACAACAGACATCGTTCATATCCTGCAAATATCAACAACAAACATCGTTCATATCCTGCAAATATCAACAACAGACATCGTTCATTTCCTGCAAATATCAACAACAGACATCGTTCATTTCCTGCAAATATCAACAACAGACATCGTTCATTTCCTGCAAATATCAACAACAGACATCGTTCATTTCCTGCAAATATAAAAACGGCATCGGCCATATCCTGCAAATATCAACAACAGACATCGTTCATATCCTGCAAATATCAACAACAGACATCGTTCATTTCCTGCAAATATAAAAACGGCATCGGCCATACACTGAAAATACCAACAATTGACACCAATCATTTCCTCCCGGTGGTGATGGAATATAGTTTGAGACTGCAGACATTGTCTCACAGAATCTGGAAGCATGCAGCATGTAGCCATACGAGTAACGGATAGCAGGTGTTCGTGGTGAGAGAGCTGATCAATGAAAACTCACGCGCAGGTGACATCATAATATATACAGATGGGTCTAAAGTGAGAGTTAAGAAGTGTGGGTGGGGTTGTATATCACACGCGAATACTGTCTGAAAATGATAGCCTCGCGCACAACGCCACAACATCCAGTATGAGAATGGAGGTGGAGGCGGTAACAGCCATTTCCCGATGGCTTGAGACACACAGCCTAGCATGTTGTAATTGTAAAAGATTCACAGAGCATGCTTCGGAAAATTTAGACTGGTGTGCTGCAATCAGTGTCTTGCATTACCTAACAAGACCTAGATGAGGAGCCTGTCGTGCATTTTTTGTCTGGGACATTCAGGTCTGCAAGATAACGAGCAGGTTGGTAGATCTGCTGCTGCCGATCTTCTGGGCGGTGAGTTGCATTATGATAAAGAGGATGTGGTGAAGGCTCTAGGGTATTAAATGGACAGTGCAATGGAACAGGTAGAGAATTCAGACACGGAAAGACCTCATTCAACGGGGTGTGTGTAAAGATTCTGGAAGAAGTTTGGGGGGGGGGGGGGGGGGGGGGGAGCAGAGGCAGACTTTTAATCAGTTCGTAACTGCTACTGTTAGCACGCCGTCTCTTCGTTGGCTACTGAAGGGAGGGACGACGCAGGTGTGGAAACGTCGCGTATGCAGTGATTTCAATTCTTCATTGATTCATTCATCCATTCATTCATAAACTCCTCCATTTTGCAACTAACATCAATCATATCCTGTAAATATCAACAATGTATGTCAATCATATATTGCAAACATCAACAACTGGCGTTTTGCAAACATCAAGAATTGGAATCTAGCATATATTGGAAAGATCAACAACTGACAAGTTTCATTTCTTGCAACATCAACAAATGATCATAATTTTTCAAACATTACCAACTGAAATCGGCTATTGCCTGTTAAAATCAACCAATAACAAGAAGCAGAGGAAGCAGCAGTAGAAGAAGACGAAGAAGAAGAAGGAGAAGAAGAAGAAGAAGAAGAAGAAGAAGAAGAAGAAGAAGAAGAAGAAGAAGAAGAAGAAGAAGAAGAAGAAGAAAGAAGAAGAAGAAGAACAAAGAAGAAGAAGAAGAAGAAGAAGAAGAAAGAGAAGAATAAGAAGAAGAAGAAGAAAAGACGAAGGATGATGATGATGATTATGGTAATGATAATGATGACTGAGAGTTTGATATTTATGATGATAAAGAAAACGATCAAGATGGAGGCAGGGGTACTAATGCTTCTATCAAGTCACCTACAATAATGTCATCATCGATCAGTCTGACGGCTTCCTCGTGTCTCTCGCCCATCTCTAGCATGGACGCTTCAGGCGCTGCAGGGGTCAGGGGTCGAAAAAATATGGCGCTGGCAAAACTATGGCATAGCAACGCTGAGATGATCCACGTGGCTACGGGAACATATACACACATAAGTGGAATATAAGTGGCTACAGGATCATATGTACATGCGTGTGGTATATGATTGGCTACATGAATATAGTAACATATATGCTATATGAGTGGCTACAGGAGCATATTTGCATATATGTGCTATATATGTGGCTACAGAAATACATGCATATGGTATATGTATGGCTACAGGAACCTATGTACATATATGTGCCATATGAGTGGCTACAGGATCATGTGTACATACATATGCTATATGAGTGGCTACAGGAACATGTGTACATATATGTGGTATATGAATGGCTATGTGAACATGTGTACATGTATGTGGTAGATAAGTGGCAAGAGGAACATATGTACATGTATGTGGTATATGAGGGGCGACAGGAATATATGTGTACTCGTAAGTGGTACATAAATGCTGAATAGATTCAACTGGCTAAAGGTAAATGTGTGTATGTATGTTTGGATGTTATATGTGTGGGTTCCAGGACCCATAAAAAAAAAAAAAAACCTTAAAGCATTGTAGAAAGCAAGTCTATCTATCTATCTATCTATCTATCTATCTATCTATCTATCTATCTATCTATCTATCTATCTATCTATCTATCTATCTATCTGTCTGTCTGTCTGTCTGTCTGTCTGTCTGTCTGTCTGTCTGTCTGTCTGTCTGTCTGTCTGTCTGTCTGTCTGTCTGTCTGTCTGTCTGTCTGTCTGTCTGTCTGTCTGTCTGTCTGTCTGTCTGTCTGTCTGTCTGTCTGTCTGTCTGTCTGTCTGTCTGTCTGTCTGTCTGTCTGTCTGTCTGTCTGTCTGTCTGTCTGCCTGTCTGTCTGCCTGCCTGCCTGCCTGCCTGCCTGCCTGCCTGCCTGCCTGCCTGCCTGCCTGCCTGCCTGCCTGCCTGCCTGCCTGCCTGCCTGCCTGCCTGCCTGCCTGCCTGTCTATCTATCTATCTATCTATCTATCTATCTATCTATCTATCTATCTATCTA